AGGTAAGGTATTGTTTTGAAGAAAAAATATAAAGTAATATAAGATACTATCAAGGGTGTTATTTGCAGTAATATAATATACTTTTAGAGCGATGTGTCGATTATGAAAAAAATGTAGAATGTTCTGTGAAGTTAGATAAAGTATGTTTTAAGTAGGATGGGGTACAGTACATTGCATGTAGTGTTTACCAATAAACACATATTTGAACCATTTTTTCACATTTTAAATAAGTAACAATTCTATTTATGTATATTGTCACGATAAATTGCATTTATTATATGATATATAGCTTTTATTATTATTATTTATTTATTTTAAGTTATAAATTTCTTGAAATGCTCGTCCTGAAAATTGGAATTAGTTATATTGGTTCTTCATTTCAATTTATATATTTTTTGAAAGACGTCTATTATATAAATTATTAATAATTTCAATATAGTTTTGCTATATATATAATTGAAATCAATTATGTAGATGAATCAGTGGTGTTCCATTTATATATATGAAAAAAACATTCAAATTAACATCAAACATTCACCTTAATGTTTAAAGACTGTTTCATAAATGAGACGAGCCTTGGTGTGCACACTTTGTCTGTACTTACAGGGTGAAGTTAGTAATAAAAGCCTCATTCGGAAGGGTGACTTTAAAAGTTGTCTGATGTGCCTCAACATCACGATTAGCTATCTTGCTTGTGACAATAGTCGTAGCAAATCTAAACCTGATATCGGACTTGATGTGTAGATAATAGATCGTCGGCTTCACACTGAGGTCGCTGGGATGCGTCCCGGATCTCACCTGAAATATACGGGAAAACAATGCGAAACTAAATAATGTGGAATTAATTACCCTTAAATCTAATTTACTTACTGACCTTTTTTAAAATTATGAACGACTTTAACGTCAGTTCAGGTTCTGTGTTCTATGAATACTTGAGTACATTTTTAACTGATTTCGCAGTATATACGTTGAGATGGTGGTGTTATTACCTAACCTCACCTGTCGAATCATGACAAACTCTCCAATTACACATCATTTTACCTTGTATAAACGAAGACAATACCAATCTCAATTGAAACATATTTCCATAATATTTACAATGATCGTCACAACAGAGGTAGAAGCATCGCAATAGATGTCAAATAACTGATGCATAATAGAAAGGACCAATGCCTCCGCGTGCAATAATCTTAGATGTGCAAAACATTTAATCGATCTTATTTATATATTACAAACAATAGATAAATAAATATACAAAATTTGATAAAGCGCCCTATCTAGCTAAGAATAAGCCACTCTAAAGCGCTTTCCAATACATAGAGATACAATTCATTATTATTTGAAATCTTGATTAAAGGGAACAGTGAAACCTTGATAAGATGTCTTTCGAGGTGCGCATGCAACAGAACAACTCCAAACATCAGGTTAATACCACAATAATGATTTTGTATTGATTTGCAATTTATGAGTTATAGATACACAAACCAATTCGAAAGTTGATGAAACAGTGATTTTTCAATGACTTTGAGATATCGACTCATGTTTTCAATGATACATATTAAACATAAGTTTTGTTACACGCATTCAGCTGTAAGAAACGTTAAGAAAAGTATTCCTATAATGTGTAAGCCGCTGAATAAAGCTAAAGTGAACATTTGTTTCTGAAAAATATGGCCTTTTCGTCCATTTAGAATTCATAAGTCGTTCTAAGGGTAAAAAAATATCATCTAAAGACTGAAGACGACATATATGTTGCAGCTACCACAAAATTAGAGTGCCTTTGAAACCCTTTATAACGTTACAAATTTACAATGTTTGGCTACGTAATTGCTAAAAAATAACAACATGAATCAGTCCGAAATATAACCAAATATGTATGATAAACAAGATGCCGGCAGTAGCTTGTAATACATGTACAACTAACAATTTATTGAATGAAAGAAAATTAAATGGCTAATACGAAAGCATTTCTTCTACTATAAGATTCTTCAATTTCATATCACTGTGTCAGATATTTGCAAATCATTCCAGATCCTTTACCGTTTGCTCAATTATATAGGATTTTAATATGATGTATACTTATGTATTGTTTCAGTGATTGATATTTTTTGTCTCAGAAATCCTACATTTCAAATTAACTTTCAATAAAACGTATGCACGAGTAAAATCTATCTTTTCACCGCAAATAGACCCGTTATTAGTAAAAACTGTAATATAAGGCTACATTATGTATGTTTGAATAATTAATTGATCATCGCCTTAATAAATACTTACTGGCGGCTCCAGTATCATTGCGCCCACCACCGCGACCGCCATCGCAAGGCATGCTTGAATAAACCACAACGTCTGCATACTAGTTTCTTTCTGCTGGCGATGGATGAGCGTCAAACATTTATACCCTCCAAGCTGCGGTGTTTTGAAATACAAGTTCACTAAGCATCATGTGGAAAACCCGAGGAAAGCCCATACATATTCTATGCGTAAATAAGACCAGTGACCTTGACACGGAATTCAGCTTCAGTACCAGGCGGTGAACGGTGAGTCGACGGGAAAACCAACATCGTCTTAATGCCTCCCATCTGTTTCTCGCGTCTCCACTTGACCTTCGACCACTGACTTACAAAGTCTTTCATTGTAAACTTAAAGTGTTAAGTACGTTCGAAGATTAGAGTTATTTTGTTCATTACAATGCTTTTTTGTTTGAAACACTTTCATCTATAAAGGGAAAGAACAAATGGAATGCTTATTATTTTACGATAACTTAAGTTATTACCGTTTTGTAGAGGATCAGCGTATGCAGGGTTGTGCACGCTGCGACCTCCGGCATTGAATTACTGACATTTTAGCTATTCATATATGATATTATTACTACTATATAATGCATGTTGGTCAATGAAGCAATAAGTAAATATATTAAATAATGTTTCAAAATAAAAGCAGGACACACAGAACTGTACTAAATAATGTTACAATACGGCACAACAAACAGACAATGCTAAATAATATCATAAACACATACAGACTGTACTAAATAATATCATAAACACATATAGATTGTACTGAATAATATCATAAACACATACAGATTGTACTAAATAATATCATAAACATATACAGATTGTACTAAATATTATCAAAAACACATACAGACTGTACTAAATAATATCAAAAACACATACAGACTGTACTAAATAATATCATAAACACATACAGATTGTACTAAATAATATTAAAAACACATACAGACTGTACTAAATAATATCATAAACACATACAGCTTGTACTAAATAATATCATAAACACATACAGTTTGTACTGAGTAATATCATAAACACATACAGATTTTACTAAATAAGATTAAAAACACATACAGACTGTACTAAATAATGTTACAAAACGGCACAACAAACAGACAATGCTAAATAATATCATAAACACATACAAACTGTACTAAATAATATCATAAACACATATAGATTGTACTGAATAATATCATAAACACATACAGATTGTACTAAATAATATCATAAAAAAACATACAGATTGTACTAAATAATATCATAAACACATACAGTTTGTACTGAATAATATCATAAACACATACAGATTTTACTAAATAAGATTAAAAACACATACAGACTGTACTAAATAATGTTACAAAACGGCACAACATACAGACAATGCGAAATAATATCAAAAACACATACAGATTGTACTAAATGATATTAAAAACACATACAGACTGTACTAAATAATATCATAAACACATACAGATTGTACTTAATAATATTAAAAAACACATACAGACAATGCTAAATAATATCATAAACACACATAGAACTGTACTTAATAATGTTACAAAACGGCACAACCTACAGACAATGCTAAATAATATCATAAACACATACATATTGTACTAAATAATATTAAAAACACATACAGACTGTACTAAATAATATCAAAAACACTGACAGACTGTACTAAATAATATTAAAAACACATACAGATTGTAATAAATGATATTAAAAACACATACAGACTGTACTAAATAATATCATAAACACATACAGACTGTACTAAATAATATCATAAACACATACAGATTGTACTAAATAATATTAAAAACACATACAGATTGTACTTAATGATATTAAAAAACACATACAGACAATGCTAAATAATATCATAAACACACACAGAACTGTACTTAATAATGTTACAAAACGGCACAACCTACAGACAATGCTAAATAATATCATAAACACATACAGACTGTACAAAATAATATTAAAAACACATACAGATTGTACTAAATAATATTAAAAACACATACAGACTATACTAAATAACATTTTAAAATAAAAGCACTGCAAACAGAATATACTTAGTAACAGTTTCAAAATAAAGCACTGCACACAGACAATTTTGCTATAATAATCCACACTAAAAGTAACCAAATACATTTACTTTTGAAAATACTTTATATAAATATCAATGAACGTGAAGTAGTGGTACAAAGTTCATAAAGCATTGAGCATGATCACATAACGTTCAAAACAGACGGCAATGCCGACAGTAAAAATCAGTTAGAAATGAAGAAATACCTCTACTAAGAACAATAAAAATCGACAACTTATTTCGTCTACTACTTAAAAACAACCATTTCTCTAGTTAGCTCTATTACTAAATTAATTCACCAGAAATAAAGTGAAGAGCGCTAACATAAGAATACCGTTGCTACTAACACAATTTAGGTGCAGCAATGGGAATATGTTTTCAAGAAGAGATAAAACCCGGATGGACTGTTTGCTCACCATGATAAAATGCACGATTTAACAGTACCAAACAACCGAGACGCCGTATTACTTCACCGACAAATTGGACATGATACTTTCTCGTTAGATCACTGGCCGGTAACTGAAATCCGTGAATTTATAAAAAAATATATATGGAGAATTCATAATAAACAGAAATGTTTACATATAATGTGTATTTGTTGGTATGGAATGTGGTGGTGTAATGTTTGAGTGGCCTCCTACGCGAGAACACTAGCTGTAAGGATGCTGACCATAGGGCCCAAACCCTGGCAATACTCCAAGGCGGTTAAGGAAAATAAAGACTTTATTGATAAGAAGACAAAATCAGACACGATTTTAATGAGGGAATCTATATTTACGATCCTGGTTTAACCTTTATCTCCTGTATGTTCCGCTCAGCAATTTCTGATTTCACAATACGGCAATCATAATAAATGTTGATAAGAAGCGATGTTGTTGTTTTTGGTAGATTAAAAACAGAAAATCGGTGAATCTGTAACTTTTATTATGTGTTTAAAGGTGTCTTACAAGCCGGTTAATATTGGCATGAACTTCAACCCGATGGAAACACAGCTGTTAGGATACTTTTAACTGGTACTTAGTGCATGGACCCGCATAGATAGGACATAAACAAATCTGTTTACTAGCCAGTGAAAGCCCTCTATGACTCAAAGTCTAATTTGCTACACACGGATGTAAGATTCAATTTGGTGTATATTTCTATTTTCATTTTTTTCCAGCATCATACTTTAAAGACATTTGCAACATGTTTTAGATTTTTTGTGATGTTTTGGAACATGAGCCCATTAATGATGAAAACATAAGATAACTGCTAATGTCGCTGTGGGTGCATTGAATGTGGGTTAAATAGCAGGACTTTCCAGAATGCGTCACGAAGGCTACATAATATCCAAGCCCTGTAGTGCAAATCCAAGTTAAGGATAAAATAATGAAAGGTAAACATTGTTTGTACAAAGTGATTGCCTACAAACCTATTGATATGTAAAATAAACAAAAAATAAACAAATTGCAATGGTGTTCATAAATGTGTCAGATGTTGCGGTCAGAATGTTTAATACACATGCCAATGCAGGTTACCGTATGGTTTTGTTTACACTTATAGAATCCCTAACCCTATAACGGTATGGTCAGTTATATAGTCATGAGCACCACATGTCTATGTACGTTGCGGTACATTATATACTGTAAATGAAGGATTGGATAACCAGGCTGTAGTTATGATGGATAACTGTTAGAGTAAATGGTGCCACTCTTAGGCTGCACTAGATTTAATCACGAAGAAATTCGAGTTCTACATCAGATCTTAATTCGACTTTGGGTGTATCTCCCCTTCAACGATGATGAAGCAACAAACAGGAGTTTTTATTGTTAGAAGTCTTTTCTCGTTTTTGTTTTACTAATAAATTTCATTTTTGAATACTCACGTTTCAAGTAAACAAGTAATGGTTATCTAAATCACACGATAATTGGTTATTTATATGAAATATTCATGTGTAAATTAAATAAAAGCTTGCTAGACAATAGTGGTTATTGCAAAGAAAAATTCGAACTCAATGATACTTTTAATGCTATATTGAGATACTGTCAGTGTAATTTCTAACACATAAGCCGTAAACACATCATTTACGATAACTATATGAACATATATGTCATAACGATTAATGGTTTTAGATAGAGTTTGTTAATTTGATGTAAAATGTAGATGCTACAATAGACGTATGCACACAACAACAAGGAAGTAGAAACTAGCTTAACAATGCTTGCATAAATTCAGGAATTGTACAACGTATTTTCAATTATGCATTTGTTTTGCTATTTTTTCCCCATTTAAAGCTATATGGAACGAACTTTTTTAATAATACTGTACCAAATTTTCTTAAATAAATCCCACCTTTTCTCTCATAGCAACTTAACGTCAAATAGGGTATTGAAACCATCCACAAACACGTAAAACTGCTTTTAATTCTACATTATTAACGATTTTCATAAAAACTTTGACGTGCGTAAATATGAAACGATATCCCAATTTAAAGCCAATGAACATTTCTGATATTAAGGACTATTACGCAATACAAATAGGGAATTGTTGTAGAACTGTATCAAATGTCAACATTAGGGATTAGCTCAAAATTATAAGTTAAATGTACTAAAATTACCGAAACAAGCAATGCGAACAAAATACATTTCTACTCTATTGTAAGACTAACTAAACAAGTACATGTGTATATCGAATCCCGTATTTCGTAGTTTAGTGAGCATGTTGGATTTTCCCATGTTTTCGGGTTCAATTGCCTGTTTGGAGATTTAAACTGTTTCATGTATCCCTCATGATGTTTTAAGCACATTGTGTTCTACGTGAAAACTTACACTTTCATAATTTATGTTACATTAACATTACATGAGTTCATAATAAAGCAGGGACGCGTAGTCGAAAAAACGTTAATAAGTGTGAATTTTAATAAATTAATTTGAAAAAATGAAGTTTTACTACTGCTTTGCTGTTACTATTCTTTAGCATTTTGCTTTGATGTAAGCATTCTTGAGCATTTATCCCCTGTTTAATCGATTGATGATTAGATTATGTTTTGAAAATGCACCACGATGCAATCTGTGGTCAGTTATTTAACTCCTACCGTTCATGACATCGTATATGTTTAAACACATCATAATTGTTATAAAGCGCTGTGCTACAAATGACAGGAGTTAAAGTATTCTGATTCTGGTTAGCAGTAACTACGTGTTTTGAAACGAAGATTCCATTTGCATTCTTTAACTGGATTACCTCTCCTTAGTACGAAACTTTTCGTCTGGTTAAATCTGGAAAATGAGTGTCGAAAGGTCATGCCCATAAAACATTATTTTGATAGTTTTGATTCACTCCAGTTATTAGGAGGCGACAGAGATGTGGCGAGAAGCAATTTTATATTTCACTGGTCCCCAGGGGGTTGAAATTATGGGATGTAGTTTGGGGGGAGGTTGCACTGTTTATTTAGCGTCTAAGCTAGACAATATAGGGTCCGTTTCATTTTTAATTTAAATAGGATGTTACCATGAATGAAGATATTACCAAATTTGTAGAAGTCCGAAAACCTAGCAGACATGTGTACAATTTATACTACTTTTCTTAGGTTCTTTTTTCAGTTTTAGAGATTTTGAATCTATGGTTGAGCACTAGAAAAATCGTTGTGCAAATGGAGTTTGTGTCACAAAACAATGTTGTTCACCATGGCGATCATAGTCGAGACATCGTAGTAAAACCAAATTGACGCTAGCATTAAGTGTGATCAGCTGACCGTCAATTAAAGCATTTATTTAAGTAGATGCATCCTCTGTAGAATACTTCTATCTGCCTCACAAATAGTTGTTTACAGTACAACTTCCAATAAAGAAGAAATGATCCATCAACTTACATTAGTCATGCCAGTTCATAATTGTATTCCCTTGAATACAACGGTGTCAATACGTATCTATGTTGACCATCAGTGAATTTGCTAGTTTCTCGAAATTTAATGATTCCATATGTGTTAAGTTTACGATTACATCAACAGGTGTGGTCAGTTAGGGGAAAGAGAGTGACTACATATGTACATCATACACTATGAAAGTGGTAGGGCTAATGTTTGGAATGAGGTGGGGCTAATGTTGGTAATGAGGTGAAGCTAATGTTTTGAATGAGGTAGGGCTAATGTTTGTAATGAGGTGGGGCTAATGTTTGTAATGAGGTGGGGCTAATATTTGTAATGAGGTAGGGCTAATGTTTGTAACGAGGTGGGGCTAATGTTTGTAATTAGGTGGGGCTAATGTTTGTAATGAGGCGGGGCTAATGTTTGTAATGAGGTGGAGCTAATGTTTGTAATGAGGTGGGCTAATGTTTGGAATGAGGTAGGGCTAATGTTTGTAACGAGGTGGGGCTAATGTTTGTAATTAGGTGGGGCTAATGTTTGTAATGGGGTAGGGCTAATGTTTGTAATGAGGGAGGGCTAATGTTTGTAATGAGGTAGGGCTAATGTTGGTAATGAGGTGAAGCTAATGTTTTGAATGAGGTAGGGCTGATGTTTGTAATGAGGTGGGGCTAATGTTTGTAATGAGGTGGGGCTAATATTCATGCTGGGTTTATAGTTGCACAGGCAGCCGACATTTCGGATCAAAGTACAAACCTTATCACCCTAATCCACGTTTGACCAGTCTCGACAGCCAAATGTCCAAGAGATCACAATTATAGATTGATCATTTCAGCCTTTTTAAGTTTAATGTTCGAGAGACTAATCTAAGTTTAAACTATGGAAAAACAAGCTGGTTAAAAATGGCCCTGGACAGTTCTATACAAAACTTAGATGGTGGTAGCAAGTTTAGTAGTTAAAAGCTTGTATCAATTTAATCCTTTCTGATAATTTTGATGCCACGTACCTAGGTTATCTGTCGTTAATTACTAGATAGGCAATTTATCACATGTGCGTATTAAAATAGTGCCTCGTTTATGTTATCATCCCCGAGTCAGATCGCGAATCGTGATCATATCGAGGTTATCAGCAAAACATAAGGGAAGAGTTAATGATTAGTGTTTCCTTTGAAGTGTGTATCAGAATTAAGATAAACTTTAGTTTTGAAGATACATACCCCGAACTAAGGGCTTCATGATCAATAGATTATCCTAACGATAATTTCTCCCAAAAAATTAGCAGGTAGACATAATTATTTTACCACCTTTTTTGTTTTTCTTTATTTTCCTTACAATTTTCATTGTGTTGCAATTGAAACTTAAAATTGCAACCTAGTGGAGGATTTTCCGAATTTAACTCACAAATATTATCATGGTTTCCCGTTCCCTGATAATAAGGATATACTGATTTGTTTATTAAGATAATTTTGCCGAATCATTTTCTTTCGCTACATACAGGATAACTTTATAACACAAAAATATTTCCTATATACACGTTTGATCAATAACAAAATAGAAAACGGAGAGAACGATAAATGTTCAAAGATAATAAAATATAGCATAACACTCTACTTTAAAATAATTAAATGAAAATTAATAAAAAAAATCAATCTGGATTTTAATGAAGTACATTTTGTAGTAAAAACATTGATAGTGAAATAATAAAAGACACTTTTTTAGCTAAACTGACATTAACGACTTTTAAAATGTAATACAATATAACTTGTATTTCCAAAATCCATATAAGCTTCCTTTATAGTCACATTTATATTTTCTGATTGGTGGCACAGTTCATAAAATACACAAGTTACTCATTATGGATTTGTAATTAACCAGCACTCTTTTTATCCATATACCGTATGTACATACGGGATTTTCTACACTTCCTTTTATGTTTCAACATCAGTTGAGGCCAATTTGGATTTCAATAATTAAGCCTTTATCATCGCCAATGAATCCTTGAACAAAGAAACAGCGGTATGATGTAGTGTAATTGATGTTTTGCATACACTAACGCTGGATCTATTACCGAATTGTATAGGTGAAATCAAGTGTGTGTCTAACGTCCATCATTCAAGGGCGTGAAGGAAACATTTATTTAGGATGAGTTTGAGGCGTTTGTGTTGTTCACTAGTTTCGCCCGTCAACAACGTTGCTGTATACCGGGAAATTTCCACCCAGTCAAAAATTCGCCCTTCAACGGGAAATAGATATTCGCCCAGTGTTGATTTCGCCCTTCATGTGTACATGTAGTTACTATGTAGGATACACTGGATACTAAACCTCGCTGTCATGATAAACTTACCCTAATTGCGGAGGGCGCAAAGGATGCAAATCAAACAGCAGCGACACATCACGTTATACAGTATTTTTGCAGTCGAATTCAATACTTAAATATTATTTTCTTTTTAACGTGTAGTTCAGTATACATTGACATACAGGTAATTCCACTATGCTTTGATGTACACACACAGAGAAATCGCTTGACCCTGGCATAGCTTACATTTTTATTAAACTGGTACGTTCAAACAAATAAAAACGTAATATAAGTGTTCTCAATACCACAAAGCATTTGTTTTATTGAAATGGCGTTAATTGCACTGAAATATGCCGGTGTCCATTCTGTCCGGCGTGGTTCGTTACAACGAACCAGCATAACGGTTACAAGCAGCAGACTCATAGAGAAGTTCATATAATCACACAGTTGGCTGCAACGTCCAACATAAAGATGACCGGACGATCCAGCAGTTCATAACACTACTTAATGTCACTGGTATCATCATGCGCACTTTCCTTGTCTTCTTGGCCAACAAGGAAAGTTCCTTCATTTGGTCATATTGAAATCCTTGAAAGTTATGGTTGTCTTTAATTTCACCTCTTATAGGAAGGGCTGAAATAGAATGTTTAAAATTACGGTTAAGATTTAAAATTTGGTGATTAACAACAATTAGATTGCAACTAAAGAAATAAAACGGTGATATGCTTTAAATTATTTTTTATATATATATATTGAATATTTAAACGCTATGTACTTAATCCTCACCTAAAGATCCGTCGATGTTTTCGGATAAATTTTCCGTATAATCAAAGTGAACGATGAGTCTGTTGTTGCTAAGTGACGTCACCTCGAGTTTGACCCCTGACCCTTGACTTCCATGCACGTAAGTGTAAAATGTGTTAGAAATCCAATCTCGTCTCACTCCATTCTCAACCAAGTGTGTAGGGAATAATTCAGTCACGGTCTGAGCATTAATTCTGACGTACGTGATACGTGTTATTCGATTTGGGGAGTCGGTAAACTCAACGCTTACAACTGTACCTGCGATTTAAACATAGGTTTTGAGCATTAGAAGTGCAATAATGAGTTATATTTTTTCTACTAAACAACCCTTCTTCTACAACTGCATTTTTAACGTCAATTCAAAGCAAATTACTGTGTAACCTCCTTGTACATTGTAAACATTTTAATTTGCTTGTTCCTTAGCAATTATTTATCAAACTGACATGGTTATATGTGTGTGTAACATACACTGATTCAAACTATATATAGATTCTCTAAATATACCCTTGGGCATTTGCCTGTTTCTGAAGAAACACGCCATATTTTTTCCATTTTTTCGGCTGTTTTTTTTATATTTCCCTGTACGTTTTAAATCATTTCTGGTAGCTCAATTAGTTAAAAAAAGAATTTATAGCAACCAAAATAGCCCTTTTTAAGTTAAGTCCGCAGTCTTTTTTATTTTGTTTTTTAATAATTTAGAAGTTTTGATATGCTTTTTTTTATTCGTCTTAACTGCAATTTGCAGTTTGTATTAGCAACAACATAACTATTTACCCGAGTCTAAATCCCGAAAAAGAGTGTATCGCTTTGTTTCCTCCGCCTTACTGGGGTTTTCCAGACACAGTGGTAAAGCAATGCCTTTAACACCAACCAGTGTATAGCCTGTAAATAGAGACATATTTTTTATCATACAAACTGCAGTTATCAAAATCAGTCAGGTGAAGATAAATGAGGAACAAATAAAGTAAACTTTGGATATATTGTAAATGGATTATATATATATTTATGCATAGTCTATATTTTTGTCGCGGTTATTTAATGAACATCATATGTCAATTAAATGTTTGTTGGTTACTACTTATCGAAAAACAATAATACACCATAAGCATACGTTTAAACATTGATCAGAAAAAAAGCACACTATACTTTGAAAGCAGACGTTTGAGTAGAAATGTCAACTAAGGAATGCACAGATTATATATATATATATAAACGAAAAGGAAAATTACAGAAATATATAAAAGAAAGGGAAATTTACAGAAGTAGCGTAAATGTGCTGTTTTGATATTAAGAACTTTTTTTTGATAAAGCATAAATGTAGTTGATAACGAGTTTTAGGGGTATACAAAGGAGACGGAACATTCTAAAATTATATATGCAAGTTAAAAACGAAGACAAATTCAAGGTTTGCAATTTATTTATAGCCAATAATTGTTTTAACGAAAACAAGTGATTAAGGGCAGAAATACTTGTAGATTGCCTACTTGATCAGCAAAATACTGTGTATACATTTTGTGAACGTCTGAGGCAGCAAAGTACTGTGTATACATTGTGTGTGAACGTCTGAGGCAGCAAAATACTGTGTATACATTGTGTGAACGTCTGAGGCAGCAACATACTGTGTATACATTGTGTGAACGTCTGAGGGATCGTTTCACCGTGATCAGGTTGTTGTAGTGACTTTGCGAATATGAAGTTACTGCAAGATTTCAGTGATGGAGTAGAGGCTAAATTTACGTAAGATATTTGTGAGAGTTACATCCCCTTTATCTCTAATATCTACTATACATGTGTAAGTACCTGAAACTTAGAGAAAACAGATATAGACATAGCTGTTTTCTGATCCTTTTGATTTATCCAAAACATTTTGAATGAACTGAATCATTTATATATTGTTCTTATTAATACGATTAGGGAGTTGACGCCTGTTATTAAAAAGAAGAAAAAAACTAAAAATGATAATCAAGCTCAGTCATTTCTTAGGGGGAAAACCCCATGAAAAGACAAAATCACTAACAGAATGAATATATTCCTCAGCCTGTTTGCATGATATAGCATGCTAAGTACAATGTAATACTCTTATGACTAGAACTTACCGGAAGTACTGTCATGCGGCGGTATGTTAGATTTGAAGTTTTTCTTGCTGCCCGTTGTTCTGTTCTTATCAACTGTCACTTTACTAGCAAAGGTCCCTGATGACGAAGCACCCCTAGAGTTCCCGGATGGTCCTGTAACACTGTTACTAGTAGGTATTGGAGACAACCCGGCATCTGGTGCCACGGTGGCAAGGATGGGTCCATTGTTTATGACATCAACTAGATCGGCCATGCCTGGATCGGAGCTCAGCATTTGATTGTTGTGAAAGAGTGAAAGGTCTTGCGATGGATGCATTCTTTCGTTAGCTAAAAGATTTGACACAGTATAAGTAAGAATAATATTGACATCTTAGAATTTAAAAAACTGAACATGTTTGTTTCAGTATTTTCAATAATTGCCTACATGTTAAAGAATTATATGAAGAAGCCTTCTCCCGGTAACGATCGTTATCAGTCTAATATTTTCTCAATTGACTATGCAATTGGTCAATTTGGTATTTTCTTTTAATTATATATTTATCTTATTATTATTCATTTTCCAAAGCAAGCTGTTAGAAATTGTTCATTTCATAAGCATATCTTCCTTGCAAGGAAATATCTTCATACTTATTAATGTCCATTCAGAATGGTTCATTTAATTCATTGCATTCTAACCCGCAGTATATCTGTTGAGATGAATCGACGGTAGAACAAATGGATATTTAAGTAAACCTTTGCTAAATACACTTAGTTATTAACTCAACCACAACAGATATCATTTTTAGCAAATCATAACAGATAATAGTAAAAAGACAGTAGAACTATGTTTAATATGAATTTCAAAACAGCGGACAACTATGACGAACTTGTTTTAAATAATTGTATTTTGGCTGTTACATGTAGCATTGTCATGTCTCATGAAAGAGGTATACACAATAAGGGACTCTAATTCCTGGCTCTTCATTATTGTCTGATAAAGAAAAAAGACTAATTCTTTCTCTATATTACAATGATTAACCAAACTTTGACACTACTGATACTATCAGGGCGAATTTATCACGAGAAGAAATTGTGTACACGAAATGCAATATATACATGTAGTTATTACATGTGAAGGGAGACATTATCACTGGGAGAACATGGATTTAGATTGATAACATTAACAGCGAGTTTTGATAAATTCACATTTGAAGTATTTACCAGTCGATAGGAACAATTTGGATCAGGTAATTTTATTGGAAAAAAATTCCATAGACGTTTGACATTCATCTTGGATGAATGGATCAATGACGTAATTGAACAATTATGGTCTTTATGGTTATTATAGTCTTCAATGACGTAATTGAAAAATTGACAATGTCTACAAGGAACATTACCAGGACTGTCCATTAGAGGATCAACGAGCGACGAATGTAAGTTTTCCGGCAAGGATACCACCATTGATGTAAATGGAGTCACAAAGTTGTACTGCAAGTTAAAGAAAGGGTATTTTACCATTTTTACTGTCGGCAAGATATGATGTTGACTATTTAAGATACTCATGAAGGAAATTTATTTAATAAATACTGTAATAGTAATACGCTGTTATGTCGACTTTTGAACATAGTCATTGGCCTTTTATATAAGACCCGATATCATGTTACAAAATAAGATGTGAGTTTCTTAATAATGCATTAAGGAATTAGTGAAGGAGCGAATGGTTGGATGGATATTAAATTTTTAAGAAATCATTACTTCAGATTCGTCACCTTTAACGCCAATGTCGTAATATTCTGTTTTAATTCTTCTTGTACCATCTCACTTGTTGACGCGTACATCTGTTGCAACCACTGTTTAATTTTAAGATAAGCCCATATCTTTTCTGTTATAGCATTAATGTCTTTATTTGTTGTAAATTTGAGTCGCACCACTCCATCTGATGGTACGTCAAGACTGAGCTCTCCATTTAAATCGGTAGCAATAACATTTGGCTTAATATCGTACATTACATCACCCGCCATCATACCAGCTACAACAACTTCGGATCCTTCAAAGATGTTCGGAACCTTCCTTTTTGTCAATGTTTTTTCATCTACAGAACCAGGCAGGTATTTAAAAGTAACGTTTTGCAACAGAATTGCTGAAATTTCCGAGTAAAAGTCTGAGATTTGATTGGCAGCATCGAAGTCCTCGTAGATTTTGCGACCAAAGCCATTATTTTGAGCAGCCAATTTTTTAATGAAATCATAATCGGCACCTCTACCAAAGGCAAGAGCGAAAATGGGAATTTTGTTTTCGTTGAATTTAATCACATTCTTCAGTATTACTTCTGGATTGATCTGGCCGATCGTAGGCTCCCCATCAGTAAGAAATATAAGAACTGGTGCTCTTGTCTTGTCTTTCCGTTCGTCTAGTAAGGCAACCCCTCTTCCTATAGCACCCTCAATATTTGTACCTGAAGAATCACCATAACAGTGTTAATTGCAATGCTTATGAGAGATCATTAATCCATAGAACACAGAGATAAATTATCTTAGTTGATACATTGTAACAAACCTAAGCTATGTATAATTTTTCAAGCGCAGCGATTGGTTGACCCGATTAGCAGGCATACGGTATAACTAGACAACATATTTATAGAAAAATCCTGATCGTAAGAATTATTATTAAAAATTGTTTAAAAATTGCATTAATTAAAATATAGACATTTACAATAACAGATAAAACTTAATTTAATAATATATCAATCGGTCTTTTATTTACCTCCATTTGCATACGTTTCGTTGACGAAAGTGGCTGCACGTTTAATATTTGCGGCGGTTGCATGGATGAGTTTTTCAACAACCTCCCATGGGTGAACACTTGAACTGAATGTTAAGATATTTACTCTTTCCTTGGATTGTATCTTGGACAAAATAGTGGACATGGCTTGCTTCAACTGGTCTAATTTTCGCCCGTTCATAGATCCACTTTTATCAAGTATGAAAACAACATCCTTTGGCTTCGGTTTTATACCACTCGGAGCAAAGAAGTGCACAAAATATCCGTTAACCAGCTGGAAATTCAAGAGTTGTAAGTAATGAGAGTTATTGGGATATTTCCCTTTATCATTAATTTATTTATTGGATTTTTGCTTAATTTACAACCTACCATCAATTCGTTTGCATTTTTATCATATGCATCATTTAACTTTCAACTCCAATGAAAACAATAATTTATTTCGGACAGTTTAAATATTTAATCACATCGTTTAATTCGACTAATGATAAATTGTTAAATGAATATTTAAGCGCAAATTGTGTTTCATGCCATCATGAATGTTTCAGTCCTTATATTTATGTTCAAAACAACAAAGATGACATCGTTTTATCTTTTGTTATTGTCCTATTTGGTGTGAACAAACTGTTTAACCAGATGGGGAAGGAACCAGTTTGGCGGGAACAAGATCGCGCTTTTGACGTCATAGTCTCTGATTGCTCAAACAGTTTGATGGATATACCTAAAATGTTCATGAACGGTAATATCAATGTGTAATAGTTCTCAGAGTCGATGGATTATAGCAACATTGGATGGTAGGTTTATCTTAGGACTGTACAAATAAAATGTAAATCTTCATATTTAAAGATTTAATTGTTGTGAAATTATACAAACGTTCAAAAGCACCTGGATCAAATATAAAAACTGGTACGAAATGTTTCCCCGTTCAAACATTTATGATATTAAAACTCATAAATGGCTATAAATACAATGTATGGAAATGAATAAACGGGAAAAAATAAAACTGCAGAAAACATATTGCAGCATATGGAAACATCAATATATTGGTTGTACAGGTAATTTTTTTGTAAATCCTTACTTTCTACGATTTTATTTCTAAATGCCGATTTACATACATATTCCATGAAATCGTTTACATACATATTCCATGAAATCGTTTACATACATATTCCATGAAATCGTTTACATACATATTCCATGAAATCGTTTACATACATATTCCATGAAATCGTTTACATACATATTCCATGAAATCGTTTACATACATATTCCATGAAATCGTTTACATACATATTCCATGAAATCGTTTACATACATATTCCATGAAATCGTTTACATACATATTCCATGAAATCGTTTACATACATATTCCATGAAATCGTTTACATACATATTCCATGAAATCGTTTACATACATATTCCATGAAATCGTTTACATACATATTCCATGAAATCGTTTACATACATATTCCATGAAATCGTTTACATACATATTCCATGAAATCGTTTACATACATATTCCATGAAATCGTTTACATACATATTCCATGAAATCGTTTACATACATATTCCATGAAATCGTTTACATACATATTCCATGAAATCGTTTACATACATATTCAATGAAATAGTTTACATACATATTCCATGAAATCGTTTACATACATATTCCATGAAATCGTTTACATACATATTCAATGAAATAGTTTACATACATATTCAATGAAATCGTTTACATACATATTCAATGAACCCGCTAGGCTAGAGCTTCATGGTACACTGTGAATATGTATGCAACCGATTTGCGTTCTTACCGGCATGAACAATGAACTTATACCGTGCAATCATTATATTTACATCCTAACTATTAGGTTATAATTGTCCTAAATATAAATATTCCCTCAAACATTCAATATTGAAGTGTCTGTGTTGTCAGCGCAAACACGATTCCTAATATCATCAAAATGCTTGATTTTAGATGTTGTCTCATTTTAATCGAGGCGGGAGAAAAAGCTTTCAAATGAGACTGCTTGAATAGCGTTCATAGCTATATGAACGCCATTTACCCTGGCAATGATAATAGAGAAACTTACAGTGGAAATGTAAAAATATTTCTCTAAGCTTTCAAACTTTATTTTAAAAATGAAATGATTCACACGGCCTTTGTATAATACAAATGTACAAAGTGGTTGCCTTTACAGTATTTGTATATCTCACCAGGATGTCGCCACCGTCAGTTTTCCTATCCACGTCATATTTGACCTTGAACTGACAATCCAGCCCATTCGGACCGCCTTGCGCTGTCTGTATTTTAAGTGTGGGCTCAAACAATATGTGTGCACGCTTGGCAGACGGACGTGTTATGGTAGTAGCTGCATTGGCATCTAGGAGTAAACGGACAAATTAATACTTATTTAATTACATCAATATTAGCTTAAGCTTAAGTATTTTTGGTAAATCATGACTTGGTGTCCAACAATAGTTTATTTTTTTTGTATCACAGTAATGTTTATGTTTGTAATTATTATACCTTTTTGATCTTTTATGGTGAACAGGTCACTCTCGATTGGTGGGATTCTCAGCTTAATTAATTTTCTTGATTCCTCAATGTCCATCTCAATTCTCAGATCGGCTACGGGTTCTCCAGGCTTCACATAGACCACGTGATTATAGGAACCCAATTTCCGTTGTAGCAATTCCTGGTAACGTAGCTCAAACGTTACCTTCTGTTCTGCAGCGACGTTGACCTGGATATAAAACGTATTTGTTTCCCTCGGCCTGGGGAAAAATATAGGGAATATCAATAGTTCAGAACTGAATGAAGATTAGTTTTGAAACAGCATGAAATTATTTTATAGAGTCATCATTTACTTGTTGATTATCGAAATGCATTTTCAGATGTTGTTTTTATGTAACCAGTACCAGTAAGACACCCACAGAAACAGAGACCTACATTTATTTTTAATAACTTTGTAATAACTTGTACAAATAACATTTTCATCGATGATTGATCAGTTTATTATCTGAATTCACATATCCGAATGTGAGTGTTTTATTATCATAACTATTCCAGTTTGACATATTAGGAACTAAACTGGCATGGCAAGTAAAGTAAATACGGTTCATTCCTTGGTGACCTACTTCACGGAGATATGTGCTGCAGATTTGCCTTTGCTCTTGTCTCTTAAATACACCTCTCGAGCCGTCTCCTTTGTCGTGACGTTACCGACATACGTCTTAGTCCCCACAGTTCTTGAAACAAACATAATGCTTATATTTGTTATGGAAATGTAAAAATACTCGTTTAGCACTTAAACCGAAGTTATACAAATATTTGTACACATGTACAATATTGAATATCTTTTACTCTCCTACTTCAGAAAAGGGATTATTTTGCAATGAGCAATATATCTAATTCAATTTCATTCCTGATTTAATTTGTAATTAATTATTTTTTAAGGAAAAGGCACCACCATTAAAATCTCATAATATATGGAATGCATAATATGTATACACCTTACAGGTTTAATTGATGATATGTTACGCTTAGTGTAGAAACGTGTTTTACGTACCTGCTGAATATGTGGTATCACGAGAAAGTGTGATGTATTTAAAGATATATTCAAGTTACCAAATAAATTTTGAAAATAAATCCACAGCAAAATCTAACGGTGACACAGCAAGTTATATATATATCAATCACCCTTTATTGATATAGTGTTAAATTGATAACAGTTGTAAACATAAACTACACTACCTATGCTAACACTTACAAGGTGAAGTTAATGATGAATGCCTCGTTGGGAAGTGTGACGTCAAATGTTGATTCATGTGACTTAAGGTCAGGGTTCACAACCTTACTTGTGACGACTGTCGTAGCAAATCTATATCTGATATCGGACTTGATATGAAGATAGTAGATTTTCGGCTTCAAATAAAACAAATTAATGAGCATAGGTCTTCTATCGTGTAAAATAAAAGTTACCGAGTAAACCTTATGTAATATCGAGAATATTTGAAATTAATTCAGATGTTTACATGAAAATATATCAGAAAATACTTTTGCATAAGATAAATAAACAATGTATACATTTATGTAATTATTGAATATTTAAAATAAATCCTAATGAATAGTATAGAATTTAAGATATTAAAATCAAATATGGTATATCTCTAAGCCCCTTAGCTAACCACTTACTCTTATTCACCTCGTACTTTTTCAAAGGGTCTCCAATGTTGACTTTTCCTTTGTTCATATTTTGCCATATTTTGCCATATTTTGCGATATCCAACCTCCACATAACATATTTATGCTAATTTATGCTTGACAGTACTTGTTAATCGTCCTAATACATAGATATGTAAGTATGTTAGAGATATTTTAGTTTAATTTACAATTTGTGATATATTCTTCCCATTTTTAAGTTTTCATAGGCCGTCATCATCTGATTCTATTTTTAACACAGATGCAGCTTGTGTTAACCTCTTCGGCGTTAGTGGTGTCCATTAACATTTCTTACTTTTATGAATATGCTGTATTTATGTGTGTATGTAGGCGTAGTATATTTCTTAACGTTTTGAAGTCAATGAAGTCATTTGATTATTGTTGTTTTCTTTTAGACGTTACAATGAAAGTTATGACTGATCAAACCAAAGTTTGCAGGGTTTGATTTCTGGGGGAAATACGATGAAGTCAGTTTACAAAGAACCACTAAATATTACATGTAACATGTTTAATCTCTATTTATATGCACTGTTTGTTAGATATGTATTTATACTGTAATACATCGTATGAAAAATCAATATGTAAATGTATACATGCATATACATAAATTTAAGTATTGTTTAAATCAATTTCATCATCAACATTAAGGAAGAAAACTAATTTTTAGTTTAATTGTAACAAATACCACATGCGCCTATGTATTCAGGACGGTGTTATTCGAAAGGATCGCTATATAGCATCTTAAATGACTCGCTACTGTTAGGAAAATTTCAATATGTCCCTCCCGTGTGCTAAATTTATATGTTATATCTTACCTTCGTTTGAGCTTCGATCCTATTGAGCACTACGAGGCCTAGCAAGAGTAAGTAGAGGAGACGCATGATTCTATCTTAACAAATTTCACAGGATGCACAGTTTCTCTCAACAATAAACGAGTTTACTGCTCATGAATATTCTGTGTTAACGTACGTCTTGACATCCTGACTCCATATATCTGTCTATATATACAACAGGTAAGAAATTATCATTATACAGGAGTACCTTTAATTCAACGGGAAAAAGTCTTCCTAGGTCCCATTCCATGAAACAATATCTATATTTTGCTGTGCCGTTAAAAATAAATAAAAATATATAAATATATATCACGAAACAAAAAGTTTTATGTATATAAGTAAAATGTTGATAATTCTTGTCTTAAAATCTGCAACATATTTGCAAATATGTTTCAACACGTTCTGAATTATGCATAAGGCTTCGTATTTCTGAACGTTTCAACGGGATTCAATTTTATTTGCGTTCATAAAACAAAATGAATACATATATACACACATCCCTCATACATGTGCGATGATTAACTGTCGTTGGTGGTGACCACGACAGGTGACGTAATAAATTTGTGATCTGGCACTGCAAGCTATTAAAGCAACATAAACTTGTGGTATTTTGGTTAACGTTTACACAAGTTTTGATTATTTATGGAATGATGGGGTTTTGAGTTATTTATTTGAATTATTTAATTGAAATATTTTTTTCAGTAAATATGTAAAACAAAGCTGTTATTTCTTTTCAATCGTATATTAATGCTTATTGGATAAGATATATGAATGTACAACAGCATAGGTATAGTGGGAGTATGCCTATTTCTTTCTTCAACCTTAAATTAAGCAAAAAGGTGTGGATTTACAATGACGCCATAAACTAGGAAAACGAACATTTACATGTCAACTTTGGTCTTGAAATTGTGTTTTTGTGACCGAAGGGTTGCGGGTTCGAGTCACGTCAAGGCACTGTATTGTATATTTGAATAAGATTCCTTACTTCACTTATACAAGTTACTCAGTTGTAAATGAGTACGTGGTTGGGCAGTACTGAAATAGGTGAAAGCTAGCTGTGAGCGCCGAAATGGCAGCACCGGCTGTATACTCTCTAGGGAGTTGAGACAAGTGTTGACTGGTTGTAAAGGCCCTATTGCCCCGGATTATAATTTGTGAACCGCTTTGAGACGACCTACGAACACGGTTGGGTTAGCGGTATATAAGACCCTAATATTATTATAATTATTTCTGAAGCGGACATACAACCTATCCATCAATCAATCAATCAATTATAATTATTTAGTATTGTTTTTGATTCAACGTTAACTGTAGCTTACTGCGAAGCTGCATGAAAAGCGTGAATGTGTAAGGAAAATGTAAGGACATAATATCACGATATCCTGATAGACGTCGAATGTTGACGGATAGAGATAGATATATAACTATAGACGGGTTGTATGGTCGCCATCATTCGATAATCAGAACTTATTCTTCTTGAAGATTATAGCTAAGTGTTCATGCAATTATTCAACAGGAAAAGGAAGTAAAGAAGCAGTTTTTTGAGGCTAAAAAGCCTAACAAAAATAGGTTATTACTGCACCATATATTGTTCTTTTAGGTCTCTGGAGTGCAAAAGATTTAAGTTCAACCGTCAAAATGTCCAAAAATGTATATTGGTAGGGTCGCTGTGGCCAAGTTGTTAAGGCGTCTGATATTCTGTTACCACTAGCCCTCCACCACTGGGTCGCGGATTCGAGACTTACGTGCAATTCAGCTTAAATTTTATGTCGGCTCCAACTCAATGGAACTTGCTACTCAGCCAACAGGTAAGTGCAGTTGATTTTATAAAACATTTACACGTCTTAATATCTCTGGTTTCCACATATCACAATTAATTCCATATTCACAGACATGATCTGAATATCACTATTCTCTTGACAAATATGTTGCATACTGACCGACTTAAATACAATACAGTGTTTCTTCGAGAGGTGCATGTTGGTAAAGACCATGGGCAAGTTTCGCCATCACATCTTATTTGAAAGTTAGTGGATTTTTCTTGCAATATAAATATCGCCGTTTTTGTTTATGCTTGCTAGTGTATCTGGGGATTTCGTTATCACTTCCCACTTTTCTAAAACGACCTTAAATCATGTATATACAAATGTACGTTAAAGATTTAACAAGATTAAATTAATAAAATGAAAAATAAAATTAGAAGGCTCTTACTTTTCATGAACGTTTTACAGTCTCAGCCATTAAGTTATTTTACATTGATAATAATTGAAACAAAATAAGCCAGGCTACACGGAACTACTTTCGCTACGTCGGCACCTTCAAAAGCAATTGAACAAAGATATCCCCTGGCCTTTGATCTGCGGTTGATTCCATTGGATTAACCGAATTTTACCTGTACAACATATACCTGTAATAATATATCGGGNCATATTTATAATCAATGAACATGAACAATGAACGTGTCTGTAAAATTCAAGTTTGGTTTTAAAAATAGTATTCCTATTTTTTTTATCGGGGTATATTGTTTTAAAACCATTGATTTTGCTTTTGCTTTTCATCGGGTATGAAAAGGTATTTTATTGCATTTTCAAAATATGTCAAATAGGCCTAGAATATGGTTTACTGTAGATGGGCTATTATGTTTTCAAACTGTGTGGGATAGAAATTCAATAGGGGTGAATACATTGTGTGGCAAATTACGGCTATATGATGCCGAGACGTCGCCAAAAGAATGGACTCGTGTACCATAAAAATACTCTTGTTTATGTCCACGCGGCTATTAACAGACATCTGCATTTGAGCAGATTGGATATTGATATTGTCAGAGATAGGGCGTTTCACAGAGTCAACAATATGTTGGATGGGAAATTAAAAACGAACTCAGCACAGACAAATAATATGTCAGGAAGACCGAGAAAAGATTAAAACCTACCCTACTTGAGTAAACTCGTCCTCCTCCGTTATCGTGTTTGGTTGAATCTTGCAATGATTTTTGTGAGAAGAGGCCTCGCGTTGCACATACAACTGGCATCGTTCAATTTTCGCAGAAATGCAAATGACAGAGAATACGTGTTAATACACCACGAAACAGCGCAACAAACAAGCAAGGTGGGACTCAAAAAGGTACGGCACCATCCGCTGAGAAACGCATGCAATTCCGTATCAGGAAAATCATGTCCTGTTAAAACACTCAGGGATTTAACCTCCAAAACTTATCCAGACGCCACGTCTCAATCACTGCAGGAAGGAGGCCATGTCGTCCCCCGCTACAGAGGAAATATGTTTTTCGAACAGAGCTGCAAAACAGTTTCAATTCTCCCGTTTTATGGGCGATACATTTGTATATCCAGGAACTCGAAATGTAAACATACATACACAGCACACTCCCTTCGAGCAAAAGCCATTCAGGCAATGAGTGACGCCGGTTTCGACTTTCGGCAGTTCATTTCATCAGATTTTATTGACTTTATATATGTCAATTGGATTGGACATCAGGCTATGCCTATTTAAGTCCTTTCCAAACTTAGTTATAAACAGAATATATATTCTGTCATAACAATCTTATTAAACAGTGCAGGGGAGATAACTCCAATTTAGCTTGTGAAATGAAAAATTGACAAGTTTTGTTTAATCATTCTCTGTTTATATTTTAGATATTAACATTTAAATAAATCATGTATATTTATTGACAACCAATCCTACATAAAATCCAAGGGATACAGGCCCAAAAGTCCCTGTGTATAAACACATTGGCCATCCACCCACTGGATATATATACGATAAGTTACCAAGAAATAAACATTTTGTAAAATTTCAGAATATGATATGGATTCATATAGGAAAATGTAGTTATCATTATATATTGTTTGAGTTGATTCTCTTAAAATTTATTTAACAAAGCACTATAGAATATTCGTGTAACTATGAAATAGTTAGAACAGGTTATAGAATAGTACACTTATAAATACCATCCAGTCCAGCCGAATACCAGAGATGTTGTGAAGATAGATATACACCAGTATCAATACTTATTAGCAGAGTGATCATGACACTATAAATAATAGCATCACTTTCAATGTAAAGTTTTGCTGTGAGTGAGATTACATATGAAGCCTATTAGTTTGACAAATGTAGTCAGATATACTTTGTAAACTGGATATGTTAATAATAGCGCTGCATATTAAACATCCCTTTAATAGAGTTTTTTTATATTAAAATGATCATTGATTACTAGTTATACCAAATCGAGAATTTTTTATTACTAATTGCATTCTAAAGTTGTTATAGATTTGGCATTCAAATATAAAATGAAATGCATTTTCATTTTCATGTCCACATCTACATGCTGGTGTGTCATTCAGATGATCCATATATAAGTCACTATTTAGGTTGCTAGTATGATTCTCAACTGACACATTATGATATTGAATTTTCTTGGCCCATAGTATTTAAATGTGCTAGCAATTTCTTCAGTGTTGCTCATATCATCAGACTTGATGAAATTTTTAAATTGTTGAAGGGAAGTAGCATTTAAAGTTTCTGCAGATAGAAGGTTTAATTATCTACACATTGAGAGAAAATAACTATTGAAATAATTCTCAGTTCTACAGAAAGGGGGATTGAAAATACGGCTATTTCTTAGTGGGTATCTTACATTTATATTGCTGTGAAGGTATGGTTCAATGATGTCTTCCAAGTACTTAGGCGATTCATTATTTAAAATTTTGAACATAAGTGCTAATTTATGATTTTTTTGCCTATAACAAAGTGATTCAAGTCCAGTTTCTGCATAAAGCTTACAATGAAATGTCCCTCTACGCAATCCTGTAATAATTCTTAATGCTTTTAGCTGGATTGACTCAAGAATATTTTTATTTTGGTTACTACATCCCCATATTCAAGTATTGGTCTAATAAAAGAGGTATATATTGTTATAAGAATTTTCTCTCCAATTTGTGTTTTAACATTCTCAATATATTCATTCTTTTAGTTTCGTTATGATATCACACTCTTTCATATAATTCAACATATATTTNGTTCAAGATTTTCAGAAGAAGTTGATATTGAGCTGAAGTAGTTATTAAAACATTCTGCTTTTTCAAATGGATGATGTATTAAGTTATTGTTTCCAGAAAGAGGAGGAAGACAATTTGATGCATTATTTGAATTCATGACAGATC